AAAGTATACTTACCGCGTTATATATAAAATGGAAAAATATCTTATATGTGTATTGTTTAGATTCGGACTGAATAGATATATAACATTTTGTCATATTAGATTAGTTGGTATGATGCGACATAAAAAATGTGATAGAAAGCTTATAACGCCCATCTAAGACAATTTTTGAAAAATTTGCTAAAGAAAAATTTTATTTATATCAATTTCGAGAATTCCATACTAGTGAATATAGAAATTAAAGGAAATTATAAGAGGTCAAAATAAATCGGAATGACAATATAAAGGATCTCTTTATACACAAACTAGCAATACTTGAATATAAATTCAATTTTTTAGTAACCAACTAGTAAAAAATTTGTCTTTATCAAACTGCTAATTTTTCAAGTGTCACCAAAATAGGTTCTGCCTTTTTCTTTATCTTTTCATAGTCAATTTCATAAGAGTCTTCTGGCTCTCCATTCGAATGACAACGGAATGTAACTTTCAGCTAATTCAAAAAAGTCTGTAATCTGATCATACACTTCATCACTGTAATGATTTTTATCCTTCTTGAAAATTTATAAAAACAGGTTAAGTAAATCATCTCTTTCACTTTCAGAGTTGGCAATTTCATTGAGAACGTCTTCATATACAATAAGCACAACTGCACGTAATTTAAAAGGTGGTTATGTTGCATGTTTGTATTGATCATCACTTAGCTTCCATCCGGACCATAATTGATAATCTTTATTTCCCCCACGGTAAATTATAACACACCGATAAGTTACAGGATCAACTATTAAGATACGCATTATCATCCTTATAACTTTCGCGATAAATGTAGTTTATATTTTTTCTAATAAACTCTTGAAGAATCCCCTGAAGTTTCTCTCCATTTTGGTTATTCCAATTATCGTTTTCGGCAAATCCCCAATCTTTCTTGTGTCTAGCAAATATACGTTGCAACCCCTCACGTAGATATTTAACCCGATTCATTTCAAAGTAATTGTAATTAAACGTAGGATTACGTACATTAGCATATGAATAAGTGTTATTCTCCATAATTTTCATAAGTATTTAATCTATTTGGTTTCCTCCAGAAACAGTTCCGATCCAATGTTTGCCGCTGTATACATGTCGACCACCAGGAAGAGATGAATGGCTACTATGATTACTTATATAGAACCAGTGTCCATCAAACCATTCTCTATTTTCTTTGCAATCGTCTTCGTACAATCCGATCCAATCCCGGCTAGATGGTGTGATTACTGACCAAGCAAATTCTAGTTTTCCAGAATTTATTATACACCCTAAGTAAGATACTTCTCTTCCAGTTTGTGACATTATGTATGTTTCTTTGGGGTAAAAAAAAAATGTTTGATGATTAAATACAATCTCTGATAATTGTAGTACAAATAAATACATACCTAATATGCAATAAAAATGCCAGAGACGAAGGAGAAATTTCGGTGACCTTCAGGTCGCTAAAAAATGATTTATGCATTATAAATTATAAGTTATTTAAGCCTTTACCTTCAACAATTGATACAATAAGTTTTTTCACTAAAGTATTTGCTACAATAAAAATTTTGAAATAAACCGACATTTATGTGCGCGTCACAATTCGTAACACCGATCACTTTTGCCAAAATTCTCGATCATATACAGATTATTAGTTAACATCAATACAAAATACATATGAAAAAGTAAACACGATTATATGTGTGTATATGTGAAATCGAGCCACCAGGGCTTGCTTTATTGACGTAGTAAAAATATTGGATAAATGAAAATACATATAAAAATAAAATACAGAATAAAGATATAAAAAAAAATCAAAAATATCAAGGACCAATAATATATGCTGACTTATATTTTAAAGGAAAGAAAAAATTACGAATTATTCAGGTTTATATCAATTCTAATACCAA